ACAGAAGAGGGCAGAGAAGTTCACACTGTATGAGCTGAAGTCATTCTGCTTGTCCAATGACTTAGCCGGATTTGACCCAGAGTCATCTAGGGAAAAACGGGTTGACGGCTCCACAAATCTACTGGACAGCAACAACCCTGCTTGAAAATGACATGCTTAAGCAAAACAAGCAAACAAACAAAGAAAAGAAAACACCTTTGGATACGACTATGTTAGATCTTGCTTGAAATTAAAAGAAGAAAAAAGTGATACAAAGAAAAGGATGTTAAAGCAGTTAAAGGTGCAGTCCAACCAACGGTGCAAAAATGAGAGATGGATGATTTACCTAGTTCACTGTCCAGTTCCTCCGTGTGTACCCCTTCTTCTCCAAAGGAAGAGCAGTAAGTGAGATAGAAAAAAATTAAAAGAAAAATTCAGACACCAGCACCAAGCAAGAAATTCCTTCCAGTATACAGCAGAACCAACACCAGGTTTTGTACCAACCTAGCCCAAACCCATATGCCACAACACCTTAGCCAGGAGGGACACTGTGGCCAGTGACAATAATACTGAAAATATATATTTTTTTGCATTCCAAAAGGCTAACAACATGGATCTGCTCTCCTCCCGCCCCTGCCCCCCGGCTCAATGGGGGCTCTCTGGTCTTGTCAGTTTAATTTGCCAAATCTAGAACTTGGGCTTCCCATTCATTTTGTGAATGGTGGGAAGTCTAAGATGACTCTGCCTGCATATCCCATTTGGAAAGTCCTTGTGACTAGGCAGAGCTCCAGTGCTTAACTCAGTGCCCTTGCACATGCAAGGAATTGAAGCCTCAAAAGGAAAGTTGGTGTACGTTCAACTATTACATTATCTAACTTAAATGACTACTTCTTTTGTCCCAAAATAATTAACAACTAGACCCCAGGCCAGTTTAGCTTGTTCTTAAAGAAGAGCAGAACCCCATTAGAATGAATTGAGACTGCTCAGGGCCCATGCTCATAGGTTGGTGAACCCATCCAGCTACCTTTTCAAAGCTAAATAATTGGATAACATTAATCTGGTTATTCAGGTGTGCTTCAAGAGTTCTATATATGTGTTGATTGCTGCATATTGGACTTTGGTCCTACTCTAGAAACTACATGCCTCAAGTATAAAGTCCTACTTTATACTTTATGGTTGCATTAAGGGACAACCACTTGCAGAGAGCTTCTATTAAATAAAGCGTAATTTAATCATCCATTTACTTATTGCATACCATTTCCATCTGCTAACAATGTTATGAATGACTGGGGATGTCATTTTGTCAAGAAACAAAATTGCAGCCAGCAAATGAAAGATGATAAAACTTGCAAGCAAATGATTGATAAAAGAATAATGGATTCAGTTTAGCACAAGTCAGCCAGAGAATCTCAGAATTTCTCCAAACATGAGATACGACAACGTAAAAATATTGTTAATTGTTCCAGATTTGTATTTTGTGGTTAGATTAATTCAAAACTGGTAATAGATAGCTGCCATATGACAGACAGTGAATGCATCCAAAAATTATGTCCAGTTACAGTGGTGCCTCGCAAGACGAAATTAATTCGTTCCGCGAGTTTTGTCGTCTTGCGATTTTTTTCGTCTTGCGAAGCTCGGTGTCGGGAAAGTTTTGGAAAAGCTTCAAAAATCACCAAAGTCTTTAAAAACCTCAAAAAGGCTACCACACCGCGTTCTATGAGTTGCTCCTCGAAGTCAAGTCGCAACTGTATTAATGGTGTTAAGAAAAAGGAAACAAACTTGCAAGACGTTTCCATCTTGCGAAGCAAGCCCATAGGGAAAATCGTCTTGCGAAGCAGCTCAAAAAACAAAAAACCCTTTCGTCTAGCGAGTTTTTCGTCTTGCGAGGCATTCGTCTTGCGGGGCACCACTGTATATATTTTTCTAATGGTTATACCTGTAAAAATGACCTGCATGATTTTTAAACACTTGCCCAAGTTGGAGGGCCCAAATAACATACTTTTTCATGTGTAACAACCCAGAGCAAATTCCTGGCACATCTAGCTCAAAGATCTCAAGGAGTATCACTGGGAAACACCAGTGAGAACCAGGGTCAGTCAGAGGAGACTACAGTGGAGTAGTTGAACTACTGCAGGATGCACCAACCTGTTGCCCTGCAGATGTTTTGGACTACAATTCTCATCAGCCCCAGTCAGCACAGGTTGCAGTCCAAGACATCAGTGCGGCACCAGATTTGCAAAGGCTGAACTACTGGGCCTGATTCAATATAAAGCATAATCACACCTTTATATACTCATATGCGTAAACCATGCAAAGTTACCAGTGTTATTTCACTGAGGTCACATTCCCATACTCAAAGTTGGAAATAATAATAATTTAAAAAAGGATTTCCCTTCATTTGCTCCTCAGGACATCCTTCACAATTTAAAAAGAAGAAAATCACGGTGCACATCAAAATAAAGTAACGGTTAAGTATTTTGACATTTATACCCCCTGCCGATGCATGTATTCATTAGCTACCCAATAGGCTGCAGAAAGTAAATTTGCTGAATAAAGGAGTTGCTGTACAATCACACGTCTACTCATTAAAAATTATAATACTGGGATATATTAATTGTGCTTATTTGCTGAGTTCACCACCTATTTCTTACTCTAGTTTTGAAATGGGAATGGCCGATTTGTGCAAGAGGACAGGAAACGTCAATGCCGAGGTAAGCCCAACTGAATTCAGAAGGACTTGCTCCAAGGGAAGGGAGCACAGGGCTGCAGCCTTGAGGCTTCTCATAAAAATGTGGTCTGGAGGCTGGGGTTAAAGAAACTACTTAGCGTAGGGCAATGTGGGGAGTGCATTATTTAGAAGGACACCTCCCACACACTGGCTGGTGTAATACAAATTTCAATATAACGGAAATGCTTCTTAAAAAGCCATTTTGGAAACAAATTCAAAAAAATTGCAGTTGCTAGTTTCTGAAGAACAACTGTTAATGCATCGATCAGCTAAGGGCCAGGCTAGATGTGAGAGTAGCAACATCATTTCTGCTTGTTCAGAAGCCTGTTGGAGTTATGTATAAAAAGGGCTAAGAACAGGGCCAGCCCACCCATGAGGCAAGTTGAGGCGACTGCCTCAGGTGGCGGTCACTGTTGATCTTTTCCCCTACTTTCCACTTGTTCCTTATGTGGATCTTCCCTGATCTCTTCTTCCCTGGGGACACCATTTTGGGGTCCACCTCAGGTGTCAAAATGTCTTAGGCCAGCCCTGGCTGTAAGCGTCTAATTCTAAGCTCCAATGGGACATGCAGTTGAGCCTTCCTCACCTTACCTCTCCCAGATCACTTTTGCCCCAGCGCTGCCTTAATACCTGATTCATATGTGGATGGGGAAGTGTATAAATAACTGTGCCTGCCACCATCACCTCTAGTTTGGTCCTAACACATAGCAATTTGACCTACAGTTAAGTTGAGGGTGTTTAACCATTTTGTTTCATTTTGTTTCAAAATGAACTTAAGAATCAGGCATGTGTTGCTGCCCCTTTCATTTTCTCTCCTCTCAGTTTTCTACCTGTTGTTGTTTTCTAAATTGCTGTTACATACGCCATTTTCTTCTCCCAAGTTAAATTAAAGTAGCCGAGTCTCTTGAGTTGGAAACTGGCTGGCATCCTGAAGGTCTCAAGGGGTGCAAATATCAAATCTGATTTATGATTTCAATAACTGCTGGGAAATAACACTGCAAAAATGGGGTAACGTATATATATACACACCTTTTATTTTCACTAAGATAAGCAATAATGACCATTGGCTCAAAATGAAGTGATGAAGCTGCAATATCCCATACACTGCATTATACAGTGACTTAAGACTAATTGTAGGATTCTATAAGGATGGAATTAAATTGTCTTTTCCTTTTCTTCTTCTTCTTCTTCTTCTTCTTCTTCTTCTTCAGTGGCTTCACCAAGGAGTAATTTTCAAAGCAGGAGAATTGTAGCTATGATTTTTGCTGCTGCTGCTCTTTAAAAAGTAATAATAACTAGCTCAGAAGAGCTGCAAGGTGATTATAGTGGAAAAATCATAGAATCTTAGAGTTGGAAGGGACTCAAGGGTCATCTAGTCCAACCCCCTGCAATGCAGGAATCTCCACTAAATCATCCATGACAGATGGCCATCCAACCTCTGCTTAAAAACCTCCAAGGAAAAACAGCAAGCTGAGCTCGCTGAATTGGACAATTGCTGAGGATGCTTCTTCTGCTAATGCCATTGTAGCCTTCAGAGTAGCCAGAATTCTATGGCTGAGGGGATCTACAAAAATTATGCCACCTAGAACTTAGGAAGATTCTGTCCTGCATGTTGCCATTTAAAAAATGCTTCTGGTATACACAGCACATACCCAGCAAGAGAAATCTGTACCAAGGACATAGTTTAGTACCCCCACCTGCATTATGATACAAATCTGGGCCCCACTGTGTGATTTTGGGAGGAGAATCCGGTTCCACTCATTCCTTTGCAAACTTAAGTTAGGTAAAATGTTTTCCAGATTTCATTTCAGCGTTTACTCCCTTACCGTCATCTTCACATTCTTCTAGAGGCTTTTGCTGTTTGTTCAGGCACCGTGGGTCTAGCCAAGACGTCGTTTTAGTGTTATGGCTGCAAACCAAAAAGCAAAGAAAAAAGAAAATAGACCTTTGTTAAAAATAAAGTATCAGTGACAGAAAAATAGCCTGTGGCCACCACTTTGACTCATCTGAGCTAAATCCATTTTCATTTAGAACAGAGCATAAAAATTAAACTTTCTAAGACATGGCTTCCAGTCTAGTCTCTGAAAATACAGGGAGAAAAAGGAAACGATGATATTTGAAGATGCAATGGTGGTGGGCCCATTTGGATGGGCCTACCCACATAGAATGTGTTCCTGCATGATCTGGGGCAAATCTTTCCCCTTACAGACCACTTGAAAATTGTTGAGGGATGAGTTAGAATTGTAGAGTTGGAAGGGACCAGTTCAACCCCACCTGCAATGCTGGAATCTTTTGCCCAACGTGGGGCTCGAACCCACAACCCTGAGATTAAGAGTCTCATGATCTATCCGAGCTCTAAGACGCAGGTCGGATTAAAGAAATGCCTTTTACACAGATCAGGCATTATTGAAAAGTGCCAGGTCCAGAGCTAGCAATGTGCACATGGTACTCCTCTGAGCTGGATGGCACTGTATGACAGGGCAGATGCAAACACAGCCCTTCAATGATCCTGCTCCCCCTACCCCAGTGGTGTAGCTAGCTGCTCGGGTGCCCGATTCAGCACATACGTCCCGCAGCTGGGGATGGGGCGACCCAAGGCAGGGCATGTTGCGTGGAGCCTCTCCACAGCCTCCCCCTCAGCTGTAGGGCGGCTGAGGCAGTGGGCAGACGCATGCCCCACGCTGCTTGAAAAAGCAGAGCGGAGCTTGCAGGCAGTCCGCCCATCGCCTTCCCCTCAGGAAAGACCCGTGGCTCAGGCACCCTGCAGGCCCCACGGTGTGGCGCCCACTGCCCCCCATCTCACCTAGCTACCAGTGGTGTAGGAAGGAATTTCAAAGTGTTGTGAGCCTTTTTTAAAAAAAAACAACAAAAAAAAAACCCATATATTTTTGCCATTTGTCACCCCCTTCAGTGATAACACTCGGGGCAGCCCGCACCCCCCCTTCCTACGCCACTGCCCTACCCCCACCAATCCGCCTGGTCACCTTTCTGACACATCTAAAGGCGTGGCATTCTTTCCTTTCCTTTCAGTAACCTCGATGGCTCAAACACGGCCCCTGCTGACAAACAGGGAACTATATAGCATTCCTGTTCCAGTATCACTTTAAATAGCATGGCACAGTTTCTTCCGCAAGTCTCAAAGGGGGTTTGCAACACAACCTAACCCTCCTCTGAAATTATGTGGGGCATGTACCTTTGAAGACTTCACTCCTAAACAGCAGACCCGTTCTCAAAGGATGGGCTTCACAATCCCTGCTATAGATTATTGGCGATATGAAAGCTGGAGTGGAAGGTCACTGTTTCACACACTACTTTACCCACCCTCGCAATACAGAAGGCAAAAACCGTTTTAATTCTTTTGTGCACTCCAGGGCAATTAATCTCTAACTGGTAAACCGGGGCATAGAAATCCAGCAAGCAAGTCAAATTAACAATAATGGAGTAAAAGGGGTCTGCCAAGGTACAAAACATTTTATGTCCCTAGGGCATAAAGGGATTTTTATACAGTATTTGGATAGCCTTCAGAAGTGAGAAAACAAGATGCTTCTAAGACAAACGGCGGCAGAACTTCACAAGGTTCTGGGCCCTGTGATGAATGAGAAGCCAACTTTTTAGCTTGCCACACTATGATTTCTCTGCTATTGAGGGAAATGATGACTAACTTTTGAGAAGTGCAATGCATTACCCTCTACCGCCAAACTGTTGATGCTTTGACCTGCCGGAGAATTTAACAGGGGCTCACTTAGCTTTTGGTTTGTTTGGCAAAACAGTTTGATTGCTGCAAACAATAGTGTTTCCTAAATAAATTCCTCAACAATTATGCTTTTGTTTTCAGAATAAGCGCGAATGAGTTATGGTTAAACTGCAGTTCAATGTGTGGGGGTTAGTAGCATGGCATTCAGTGCAATGCCCTTCTAAGTCGCAAGTGAGGGAAACCTGCAGGCCCCATGAGAAAGGCAGCCCTTAGCCATCCTTCGCCTAACTCCTTGCCACTTCCAGCACCACCACCAACCAGTAGAAGAAAGCCCCAAAGGCTGCCCACGCTGTGGGCTAGTTTGGCCTCAAAAATGGTGCAAAGGTTCAACCCCTCTCTTTTTTATCTGCAAGTACAAAGAACACACAAGAAAATGATCTCTTTACTCTATAAAGTAGACTTCTCCATTTTCTGTATAGGCCATCTCCCAGTTTTCAGGCAGAGGACCCAAGTTTTCCTCTGCACAAGGAGGTAGGTATTGAGGGAGCTTCTGAGAAGGTTCCGTGGTGGGAACAGTGGTGATGCTGCTATTATTCACAGATGGGGGAGCCGAATCTCTTGTGCTGTGTGTATTGTGCTCGTCTTGTTCACCAGAGTCTGCTGCAGAAGGACACACACACACAGAGAGAGAATTAGACATAGTGATTATTAGTCAATGGTACATTACTATTTTCACCCTGCTTGCTTCCATAATTGTTTGAGACACTTCGTAAAAAAAAAACCATGCAAGCTGGATCCACCAAGCTGGGGCTGTTTCTTAAGTAACCAGTGAGTAACAAAGACTATTAGATCATTCAGAAATGGAGGCACATGCCATATATACTGGAGTATAAGCCGACTCGAGTATAAGCCGAGGCACCTAATTTTGCCACAAAAAACTGGGAAATCTTATTGACTCGAGTATAAGACGGTTCACCACGCCACAAACCTGGGGGGGGGGGCAGCGGCGGAGGAAGAACAAGCAGCCCAAAAGGGCTGCTTTCAGGCTGCTGGTTCCTCTGCCGCCGCCGCCGCCACTAGTGGCAAAGGCGGAGGAGGAGGAGGAAGGAGCAGTCCGAAAGGACCCTCACTCAAGTATAAGCTGAGGGGGGCTTTTTCAGCATAAAAAATGTGCTGGAAAAGTCAGCTTGTACTCGAGTATATACGGTAATTACTGTGTAGTTTGTAACTATATGCCTGTCTTGTCCTGTTGTTTTCACCCTTGTCTGTTTTATTTATTTTAATCCATATTTCTTACTGGGTTGCTACAAACCATACAGGAATTTTGCAAAAGGGGGACGGGTTAGAAATGGAAGCATGTCACATTGGAAAGATCGGGTTTTAATACCGTACATCCGACTGACTAGCACCCAGGGCTACTTGACCAACCCACAGATGAGATACACATTTAATTGTTCTACAGCATGGGTAGGCAAACTAAGGCCCGGGGGCCGGATCCAGCCCAATTGCCTTCTAAATCTGGCCCACAGACGGTCCGGGAATCAGCATGTTTTTACATGAGTAGAATGTGTGCTTTTATTTAAAATGCATCTCTGGGTTATTTGTGGGTCATAGGAATCCGTTCATCCCCCCCCCCAAAAAAAATACAGTCTGGTCCCCCACAAGGTCTTAGGGACAGGGGACTGGCCCGCTGCTGAAAAAGTTTGCTGACCCCTGTGCTAGAGGAAAGATGGGGGGGGCACATCAACCGAGGAAGGGACTAGGCTCATTATCATAATGCTAAACAGTGGTTTACTATTACATCCGAATGCAGCCTATGGCAAAGTTGCTTCTTGCAAACAAGCAAAGGTGCAAGTTCCCAAATGAAGATCAGGGCCACTGCACTCCTCTTCCAGTCTTGCTGTTACTGCACTACAATAATAGAATCATAGGACTGTAGTGTTGGAAGGGACCCTGAGGGTCATCCAGTCCAACCCTCTGCAATGCAGGAATCTCAACTAAAACATACATGACAGACAGCCACTTCAAGGAAGGAGAGTCCCCCACCCCCATAGGTGTCAAACAGCTCTTATGTGATTGCAGCTGCATAAAATGCCAAATGAAAATTCAAGTCCTATTTAATGTGACCTCAATCAATTAAACATACATTCTGGTTCAAACCATGTTCACTTAGAAATCCCACTGCTTTCTGTGGTACTCGTTTCCAAAGATGTGTGCTTAGGATCATAAGACCCTGCAGATCTCCTAAATATTTTGCCCTTTATTTAATCAATGTCAGGATATTTTTAATCTCTAACTCTCAAAGTAACGGATCTGAAGTCAGCTGATTCTTGCAACAGGTTCCTCAGCTGATAAAGGAATATACTAGAGAAAAACACATCCGTTTCAGCTAGGTGCCAACTTCCGATTGCTATTTTTAGCCTACCTGATAGCTAAAAAGTCAAGAGATTGCACAGGCAGCTACCTGAACTTCTTTTCACATGCTCTGCCAAAAGCTGCGGTTCAAAGCCTTAACTGCGAAGTTAAAGAAACGGGTTCTGCTAAGATCACACTCATTCATATTGTTAACCTAGGAAAATTCCTAACAGTAATAACTACAGACTTTTGTTGAGGGGAAGGGGGAAAGCAGCAAACGGTGAGCTGTGCATCCCTCAGATGCTAAAGATTTTGTGAATATGTATGCGCGGGAATTTTCTTGAGAAGAACCACCAATTTACACATCCCAATTCCTTCCCCCACCCCCGCCCATTGATCGCCTCCTTCTTATACAAAGGCAAGCAAATAATTTACCTGTAAAGCTACTGTTCATTTCAGGGACATCATCTTCCTCTTCATTCTCCGTATGCACTATGCCAGCATTTTGCATATCATTGTAAGACTTGGTTCGCTTGGGGGTCGACTGCTTGGAGCCGGACTGGAGGTTTTGCAAAGCATCAGTATTATTCACTTTCCCACTGAGGGGTTGGCTGGGAGGCTTGGGTGTTCCATAGTAGTTACCTAGGCAACAGAAAGACATTTGCGTGTTTGTTTGCTTTTGCAGATTTCGTGTCATTAAATATTTCTTCTCTCTTTTCTCTCCCACCACCACCACTCCCCTCCTCAGCTCCACCCGCCATAATCAAAGCAATTTCTCATTCATAGCTAACAGGAACAAATATTCTTCCCTCCCTCCCTCCCTGCCCTCCAACTGAAAGAAAAAGCATTCAAAAGATGTCGGCTGTTTTACCTTCGTGAAACTTATTCATGTTTGAATTTTAAAACCAAAGAACCAAAGCCTGCCTTTTTGAGGTGCACTAGGCGTACAAGGACTAAAACAAAAGAAGACTGTGGTGAATTGGGGGCGGCGGGGGGGGGGGAGGCCTTCATCTCATTACATTTGAATTTCAATTAGTAGCTTTGAAACACACACACACACATATACACACACAGAGACGGAAGAACCCACATAATGCATTGCCAGATTGAGAGTGAGCCCTGCATGAAATAAAGAAATAAAAACTCAGTTCTTAACATCACCCAGAAAAGCGACGGAAGACTAGCATGACCTGCTTTAATAGGCATCCTCAATGGGTAGCAGGTAAACTTTTTTTTTATTTAATTTTTAAAAATAAAGTGCTGTCCAAAAAAAGGGAAAAACTTTGCCAAAAGAAAAGGGGAATGGCAACACGTG